ATATATGTAGATTGTAGGTTAGGTAACCTACAACAACGCCCTTCTACCGCTCCAAAAATGCCAAAACACTATACTCAGGGTCGCAAACAAAAAAAATTGGAGATATCCAACCGAAAAGCTTTACGAAGACTTTAATGTCCTCAATATTGAACTCTTATACCTAAAAACAATCACCATATATCTGAAAAAACACAATCAGTTAGTTTCTATAAACCATGGGGTCAACACCAGATATGCAGATAGTAAATTTTCCCTAGATTGGCCCTCAAAAACTAGTTGCCGAAAAGTTTACTATTTTTTGGGAACGCAGATAGCTAACTTAATGCCCAATGATATGGTTAATTTACCGCTACCCATATTCAAAAAAAAAATTAACCACTGGCTACGATATGAATATGTGTGTAAAACATAAAATTGTATGTAACATACTAATTTAACGCTTATAATAGTTACTAGAATTATTTATGTGATTTATTTATGAAAAACTGCTTATTTGTTTTTTAAAAATGTAACATGTACCTTAAAACAATAAGAATTATTTGTAATCTAAGATAACTCATGGGCCTCCACACGAGTTTTCCTCAGTGAGGCCCAGTAATCTTTCGATATTAATTTAAATAAAAATAAAATAAAAATAAATATCGTGTAAATTAACAATTATATTCGAATAGGTTATAGGCTTATAGCTGTTATTGAACTTAATCCTAGTCCTATGCAATAATCGATATTCTTCTATAATTTCCTTAAAGACTTATACTTTTTATAGCATTATTCGATAGAATAAAATAATGGAACATAATATAGAGAAAAAAAATTGTGCATATGTTGTATTGGACCCATTTTACGTATATTGTACGTACTTGTTGCGAAAATAATTGTAGATCGTACTACGTATATTGTATAAGTTAGTATAATTACTATGTTATAAATGTATGGTGCAGAAAAACAGGCCCCATAAAAAATCTTGAAACTTATCCCGTAAGGGTCGTGATCCCTACATTTTCCCCCTTCATTTTAATCTAGACCTGATCAGTTAATTATTTATATAATTAATATTAAAGTCGTTGTACGAAGGTAAATCGAAATCTTGGTTAATTTGAATTACCAGAAGAGTTATTTCATAATTACGTCAATTTTATATTGTTTAACATTTTAATTATTGTTAGAGAAAGTGTTACGATTATACAATAATCATTCATTAGAAAATTTATAATTCCATCATTACAACACAGTGTTTTATAACTATTTTTTTACTCCATAGTGTGAATTTTAACAACATTTTTCCATATTATTACCTTGTTGGTACCTATATTTGTTCTTTCAATTATAAATTTATAATCAAAATTATATTTATCAATAGATTAAAAAATAACTTAAGCAGATATCTAGTAGGATACTTTCTCAATATAAAACTATTTTTGGAGGTATCTACTACTCTAATAAGAAGTTAGAACTCTCAAGATGTCAAACGTAATTTAATACCTATGTAATAGTAATTATTAAAAGTGATGTAGATGTTAATAAAAACAAATTCGTCAGCATAATTCATTCTTAAAAAAATATAGGTCGCAAAATTTGTTTTTATTCTTATTAATATTAATATTTGTATAATTAATACTTTGTTTTATTAAATATGGTGTTTATATCGACTAGCAATTAGCATAGAATTACTAACCCAGCCCTACTATATTTACTTCCGAATACTGGTATTTAAAAATCATTCTTACTAAAGTATCGTTGATTTTATTTGATTATTAAAATTGTTATTGTGCAGTGTACTATTTGTTTTTATGCAGACATACAATATAACTTAGTAATTGAATGAATTAATTCTCTAATTTATATTAATATATTGATACATTAATTTGAAACGCCATTACGTTTCTTATCAAACTTACAATTTTAGTTACAGTTTGCCAATTAGAAAATAGTTACATAAAAAAACTCCATGTAAAAAAAAACCGTGACCAAATTATAAATAACTGTCAGGTTCATGCAGTTGGTGACTAGTCGGAGAAATAGACTAAGCCTTCTATTATAATATATACTTCGTGTTGTAGATGAATCATCGTCACTGCGACGTACATTTTAAAGTCTAAATAAAAATAATATATTTTTTCTACACCGTTATATATTATTACGATCAATCTCAGATTTTATAGAATTGTAGGTACCTACATTAAATTATTCGTATTATATGATATTTTAATTGTTTTGCACGTCATTACCTACATTTATATTGTATATAATTTTTACTTCGTTGACATACAAAATTCAAATACATTTATCTTAAAATACCTTAGTTTAAAAATAACATATAGGCACCTTTTAAATGAAATTAAAATAAAAAATATCTTATGTATGGCATTATAGTAGGTACCTAATTTTGAATTTCAATGTTTAATTTCTGATAAATTTAAAGAACTTAAAAAACATCATGTTAATCGAAGTCTATCTTCGTATTTTTAACTTATTTTTTTATAATAATTACAAACTAAAGTATTAGTACCTATATAGTAGTATAGATACCCAGATAGAGACTTTAAACTTAAATTAATGTAACCTTTTCCGTGCATTAAAATGTAATAATAGATAAATATTAAGATTATAATATATTATTTACATTTCAAGACTAGATTTTTTGAAGATTTCAGCTCACTGTTAGTTTTCTATCTCTGGCTCACGTACAACACAGAGTAAATGCATTTAGAAAAATCATTTTTTAATTTTTTTATGTACCTAATCTTAGAGTAAAAATGCAAAGTCGCCCATTCTAAAAACTAAATTATACAAATTTAGGGAATGATGTTTTTTGGGATATTTATTTATTTATTTAATTAATTCAAACGGGCAAAACCCAGTAACAGTTGTAAATCAAAATATTAAACAAAAAATGTTTACACTTAGAAAGAATAGGAAAAGTGAACAGAGTGTGATAAGGACATATTATTAAATACCTATACAAAATATAAAATAATTAATTAAGATTAATAATAACAGTAGTTAAATTAGCGAATAATTTTATGACATTATAACATCTTGATTTGTCTAAATATTGTCTCAAAACAATTTAGTATCCATTTGAAATTACAAACATTATTTTTTTAAGTCAAATAATAATTAAATAAATTAAACCTAACATCATCAACTTCCTAAAGGAAATGGATTTATATAACCTAATAATATAGGCACTAAATATAATGTAAATAAAACTAAGTTTTATTAAATCCTCAAAAATATTAAACTTTAAAATTTTTGAATTGTCGATTTTACTTGAATGCTTTTTATCTATGTTCCAAGTGGAACATAGAACAAATACTGTGCTAACATCTTCGTGTACAAAATGAAGTATTGTCGGTTCGATTTGAGATACTTCCTTAATTTACGTAAAAACTTTTTTTTACACTAAGTTTAAATCGAAATATTTAAATTATGATTAGGTCGGGCAGAATTGAGCTCTTCTAATCATATATTTTCAAATTAAAAACAATATTATTTAAAACACTATAATATATAATATAGATTGCTTTAAGACAGTCCAAGAGAATTTAATACATATTACATATAATATATATACAATTTTTTTAATCAATGCAGAAGTTACCGTTTATATACAAAAGTGAGCTACACCCTACACAAGCATCACTTTTTTTTATAAAGTTAAGACGAATCGGTATAAAATCAAATGATTATTTGTAATTACTATAGATTAGGTACGATTTGTGTCTTGTATGTTCGAGTAATGATGACATTAGTTTCAGCTGTAATTAAAATAATTGTACCAAATTAAAACAACTCTATCAAAGATTGAAACATTAGTTAACCTAACTGTAAATCTATTGAAATCAGTTTCATAATGTAAAAAGCAGTGGACGCTCAACACAAACGTATTTGAATAATTGTAAACCTATTATTAATATTGAACGGTCCAGAACAATGCGAAATCATTAGGAAGTCGACAACACATGCAGAACCGTTAATGATAATATGATACAAAAAAATCACTGAATGTTAAACGAACGTTTTGTTTGTAGTTAACGAGGTCGAAACCAAATAGTGTTTTCGAGCAAAAATATCCGTCTCGGGTATTTGGCGTGTTCCAATCGTACGTAGTATATATAATTAACCGAATAACCTTAGAAATTCGACTTGCGGAAATGGCAAGACCGTGTAGAACCGGATGTATGTTGTCATAATATAAACCCGGGTCCCGAGAACCTTACACGCGGGAGCTGCTGTGGGCGTCTAGTTTAATTCGTGTGTGTGTATTTAATAAATAATATTATTAAAATATCGTAATAATTATTTTAGTCGAAATAGTATGGTGGTGGTGGTGGTGGAGGCCTGCAGAGAGTGTAGAGGAAATGCGTGTCGGCCGCCACCGCCGCCGACGAGGACTAGGAGAAGGTCAAACGTTTGTGAGTCGACGGTCGGACACCGCGACTTGGTTCGGTTGGTCTCTGGCAAAAAAACGGCGACGGCTGAGAAGATGTACTGAAGTCTGAAACTCTGAAATACGAAAAGAAACAAAATAAATACGTTTGATACTTAGGTATTGTAATAACCCGACCGTCGTAATAATAGTGCGACATGGTCGGTGGTTGGAGGGGCAAGCCGCTCAAGCGGTTTCGTGTTGTCTCGAGAATCCGTACCGGTGCGCGCGGCACAGCACATCAGTACTCTGCATCAGAGCCCGTTCGCGAGACCAAAGCCGCACGGGCGACGGTGGAAACTGAACTGGTCTGGCCACTACAACAATACCGCTTTTTATATATAATTATTATTGTTATTGCGTCCGACTGGAGCGAGACGGCGAGTAAGTTCTCCTCGTCTACCGCAGCCGCCGCCGCCACCACCACCGCAGCCGCAGCCGCTGCTTGTGCGTGTATTGCCCTCGTACTCTCAACCGGCCCCGCTTCGCTCGTTACATATTATTATTATTATTGAAAACGTTAGGCTGGCCGCGGACGACGACGTCTTCGACTCTTCGTGTCGCGTGTGCGCGTCTCGAGTACGCGGTCGTGCTGTCCCGTTCTGGCTTCGCGTTGTCGTTACATCGTTATAATTTACATTTTATTATGTAACGTGTGTGAACGCCGCCGTTCGAGTCGCCCTGTAACGCGGAAACACACGTCCTTAACGTATCGGAGTTTCGCTTCCGGTGACAACACTATTTTTTTATGGTGATACCTATTTTTTACCGTAGGGTCCGAATCCAACGCACGTCATTCGCCGCCGGCATAGTCGCCAATCGTTTTTAGAATATTTCGCGTACCCGGAAATCTGTAATATTTATTTTGATTGTTTTTCTTTTCGACTTTTTGTTATTGTCGTCGTGGTCAGACAGGTGGACTTTGATGTGCTTTATTATGCGAGATAACAACACAACTATTATATAGTATTAGTCACAATAACTAAGTGTCGTGTGTCCCATAAGTAAACACCAAATGGAAAATCTATTCAAATATTGATGAGTTTTCCAATGGCATTCCAGTACTATGTTGTATCAAAAATTGTGTTAAATTAAGAAAATAAGAAAAACGGTGTCCCTCTCGTTCATATTAATAATTTTCGATCAAATGTTTTCACGGATAATAAACTACTAATGTAGTTATGTTTAATAAATAATAATGAATAGAGTAAACTTTCTAGTATGAGAAAAAAAATAAAGTGGTCCAAAAGAAAAGCGATTTATTTGTATTTAATCGGCTGTGCGGGAAAAGCGTAAATATTGTAAATTTCACATCGCATAGGTCTAATGATCGCCGTGCAATGAGCCACTAAAGTAAAAGCGTTTCAAATCATATTTCCCTACACCGCTGTGCAGTGTCTGACAAACAATCATTTCGATAGATAATAACGTGCAGTATTTCTTGTGACAAAATGGTTCTAGTTGAGCAAGTATGTACCTAATCATTTTTATATTAGATTTTTTTTAATGACGTTCTCTTTTGTTGTATTTATCCATTAATTACTCTAAACTTCCTATTAGGTAAATTGTGTATAATTCAATTCAATGTTGGCTTATTAATTATTAATTTTTTATGGATTTATTCTTGATAATGTACATTACTATATTATATTGTACAGGTTTTCTACAAGGATTTACTAATTTTAAGTGGTAGGGTAATGTAGATTTAATTACCATACCAATTTAAATTAGTAGATCTTCGTAAATACAATGCATGATATTATTATGTAAGTAAACAATATAAAGGTTATAAATAAACTGTAAACTGATTTTATAACATTTTCCAAATAAAAAAAAATCATAATATTATGCTCTAACATTTATTAGGTTACCTACAATTAATAATCAAATATTTGTATGACCCATTGAAAAAAAATATTGTTATAATATTTTATACGCTTTAGAAACTTTAATGAACATGCTTTCCTAAGATCAACTAGTGAATCCTTTTAAAAACATGTATTTACATTCCATGTAGGTACTATATTTATATTTTATTATTATGTTGGAGTGTCAAGTGTCAACCAACAAACATTAAAAGGTTTAATTGTGTTTTTTTTTTTTAGTATCCACCAATGACGATCCTATATGACCCAACAATTAGAAAAGATTCCACAACCAATGGTGTTGCATCTCCACAATTTGCCAACGAACAAGAGCTGTGTCTTATGTACTTTGATAAATGGAGCGAACAGCACCAAATCGACTTTGTCGAACACCTATTGGCACGCATGTGTCATTACCAACACGGACACATCGACACATATCTAAAACCTATGTTACAGAGAGATTTCATATCGCTCTTACCCAGTAAGTATTTTAATTTAAATATGCTAGACATTTTGATACAAATATTTTTGCTTGTGTTCTAGAAAAAGGCCTAGACCATGTGGCCGAAAATATTTTATCTTACCTCGACGCTGAATCTTTATATGCTGCAGAGTTGGTATGTAAAGAATGGTATAGAGTTATTTCAGAAGGTATGCTTTGGAAAAAGTTAATTGAACGTAAAGTACGTACAGATTCATTATGGCGAGGACTTGCTGAACGAAGAGGGTGGTAAGTGTTAATATTATGCAACATACCAGATAAATATTCATGTTTTTCTTAACTTATTTCAGGATTCAGTACTTGTTCAAACCAAAGCCAGGTGAACACCACCCAGATCACTTCTCCTACAGGGCCCTGTTTCCTAAAATTATACAAGACATAGATGTATGTGATATTTCTTTTAAAAATAATTATGACACATTAAATTTTATCGTATCTACAAACTGTCTTATTAAAATTGTAGTATACATTTTAAATTGTTAGTTAATATTTAATTAAGTATTTATTTCAATTCAAAACTTAGAGCTAGATTATAATATATACATGAGTTCTTTTGAAGTAGATGCTAATTTTTGCATAAATATCTCGGGTATATTTTAAATTTCAGTTGCTCATGTTAGTATTCTTTTAAATTAAATTTTTATTTTTTTGCGCTACAGTAAATATGTTTTGTATTTTATATATTAGAATTCTTATAAAAAAACTTATACAACAACAATCAATAAAATATAGATATTATATAAGAATAGATCAAACGTCAAATAAAATACTAATATAATTTCAAACCTAATAGTTACAATCAACAATTATTATAAAGTTTTTTTAAAAAAAATCTCAAGCATGAGACTAAAGACTTAAATTTTTAATAAAAAATTGCCATTTTCTGATTTTTTTTGTTTTGGAAATTATTCTGCGAATGCTTGAAATGTTTCAGAATATTTAATGCTTCTAACATTTTTGTTCATAATTGTATTTTATACTTCCAATAATCATAAAACAAAACAAATAGCATACTTAATATTTAATACATGCATACTAAGTTTGTTGGTACCAAATCTATCTAAAATATATGGTTTCTATCTACATTTAGTATCAATTAATAATACTTAAGTGGTATTATTTCAGAGTATAGAATCAAATTGGCGAACAGGCCATTTTCTATTACAAAGGATAAATTGCCGATCAGAAAACTCCAAAGGTGTATACTGTTTACAATATGATGACAATAAAATTGTCTCGGGTTTACGTGATAATACCATAAAAATATGGGATAGAAATACATTAGAATGTGTTAAGGTAATGAATAACAAATTCAGTCTTTTAAAATAATAAACAATAAATATTGAAATTCAACCAACTTAATTTTGTTTAGGTATTAACTGGCCATACCGGGTCAGTTTTATGTTTGCAATATGACGACAAAGTGATCGTGAGTGGTTCCAGCGATAGTACAGTTCGTGTATGGAACGTTGTTACTGGTGAAATGGTCAATACTCTAATACACCACTGTGAAGCAGTCTTACATTTAAGGTTTAGCAACAATATGATGGTCACTTGTTCAAAAGTAATTGCTGGATTGTTGTGTTGTAATTTAAGTCCAACTCTTAACGTATATTATAAATTTTCTATTGAAGGATCGATCAATAGCTGTATGGGATATGTTGACAAATAGTGAAATGACTTTGCGTCGTGTCTTGGTTGGTCACCGAGCTGCAGTAAATGTTGTTGATTTTGATGATAAATACATTGTATCAGCTTCTGGAGACCGTACTATTAAAGTATGGAATACATCAAGCTGTGAGTTTGTGCGTACCCTTAATGGTCACAAACGTGGTATTGCCTGTCTTCAATATAGAGATCGATTAGTAGTTAGTGGAAGTTCTGATAATACCATCAGGTATTTACCAAAACAGTTATATTAATTAATTTGATGGGGCATTGCTTTAAGATATTGTTTTATAACATCATTTTTTTTATTTATAATTTTAGGTTATGGGATATTGAATATGGAGCTTGTTTGAGAGTACTTGAGGGCCATGAAGAACTGGTACGATGCATTAGATTCGATAGTAAAAGAATTGTTAGTGGCGCATATGATGGGTGAGAGCTTAATATAAATCATATTCATGTATCTAATGTATCATAAATCTTTTTTTTTTTTCTAGTTTCTGATATATTTATAAAATACATTTCTAATATATTTTTTATGACATAATCTTTAATATAATTTATATTTCTAGGAAAATCAAAGTATGGAATTTAGTAGCAGCTTTAGATCCCAGAGCACCAGCATCTACTTTATGTCTACGTACACTTATGGTAAGCGTTTTGCACTACGTTCACTTTTATGATTTGTTGTTTTTTCGTGATTGAGAGAGGAGGAATTTTTGTCCGGCAGGAGCACTCGGGACGAGTGTTTCGACTCCAGTTTGACGAGTTCCAAATAGTCAGCTCTTCACATGATGATACAATACTTATTTGGGACTTCCTCAACTATAATGATACTGCAAATAATACAGCAGCGGTTGCTACACTTCCAAATGACACCCTGCCACCCTTACCTCCTGGTATGTTGGGTAAATATTAATAATAATGAAGTGGCATTAAAATATTTTATGCGTATGTATTTTTTTATTTCAGGTTTTGATTAACCCAATAGGCCAGTCATCCGCAATTGACTGGGTCAGGTTCGTGTATAATGATATACAGAACTCGTTTTAAAAATATCACTAAAAGATGGTAAAACAATATTCTATCACATCTTGTTCTCATTTTATTTTTATATTTATATATATGTATATATAATAACATTATATATTATGTATGTATAATATAATGAATAACTACAAAAACGCCCAAAATAACTGTGCCAATGTTCAGATGTTCTCTATTATTCTTTTATATATAAGTACACGTGATGTTTCTCATTTTAAATACACTATATTTATATATGCATGTTTATATAATATATATATTTGTATATGTGTATATATGTATATATATAAATATCTATAGTAAAATAAATTTCTAGAAGGGCTTAAATGCTTAAAATATTTAATTAATTTTAAACTGAATGTCTGTGATTTTTCAATATGAATTTTCTAAAAGAAATTAACCAGACAAGTGCAATGACACTTCTATACTTTCCTTTTTTAAACCTTTTTCTCAATTGTAATTGTACATCATGTTTGCTTTAAAAAACAAAACATGTTTGTAGATTAATTGAATTGTATGTAATAAAAACAAAACAAAAACGTCGTCATCAACACTAATATTTGTATAGTCCCTATTTGAATAAGTTATAAAAACAATTTTCTTTGTATAAAAGTGATTTTGTATAATTTATATTATTATTATTATAAAATACAAATTATATTAGAAAACAAAATTCTAAACCTGTGTAAATAACTTACTTTTATTGAACTGTAAAGTTTCCATCTCCCATTAATACTAGATCATTTTAAATACATTGACTTAGCCAATAGTTGCACCCTACATACTTCGACTGTATTATTTCGACTTGCAGACACTTGAAAACCACTGTTTGGATTCGTAACAACGAGAACTAATACAATGTGCGCATCTTAAAAGAAATTTGGGACTAACGGGTTTGTTTTCTCGGAGATGTTGCGACACTATATCAGCAATAGCATCAATAAACAAAGAATGATCATTAGGTGCAGCAGCTCTACGGATATTTTTGACTCCTAGCTAAAAATTAAAAGCATTTATTAATTATAAATTCAAATTGTTTTTAATATTCTATTATTTAACTTCAGTGCATTGCTATATTCTGAAATTTAAATGTCTTACTTCTTCTCCGAGTTCTTTACAATATTCAATGTCAAGTTCATGTAGTGTCTCAATATGTTCATTGACAAATGCAATAGGTACTAATATAAAATTTTTTTTGCCTTGCTTCACATAACCTTTAAATAAAAATAAACCACAAGATGTAAAGAATAATTTGAAATAAGCACTTTACTATGGATCAATATAGTTTAAAACCTTTTAATGCATCATCCGTGAATGGTCCCAACCAAGGCAATGGGCCAACTTTAGACTGCCAAACTAATGCATAAGGATAAGCATGACCTAGTTCTTTCATCACAGCATGCACTGTTGAGCTTACCTCTGAAGGATAAGCATCTCCACGGTTAACAGCCTCAATAAATAAACATACAATTTCTTATTATAAAAACAATGTTTGATGATTTTAATTTGTTTTATCAGATAATATCTATATAAAAAAAAACTAGGTAATTCTCATTGACAAATTAATATATGAACTGTATACCCCGCTATAGATTGTTGAGTCAACATTGTTAGAAAGAAATAGTCTATACTCTGTTCGCCGAGTGACCAGGACCATTTTGCGCATACGACTGACGGAAATACGGGCTCTCCGTCAAATGTCCCCTTTCTACGACAAAAACTATTTTGTACACATAGTTGGTTCAAATAACCATTTGTGTCAGCTGTTATAATATATGCTACGTATTATACCAGTGATAATAATACAATAATATTCTATTATAAAGTATAAACAACACATTTTTTAAATTAATTATTTAAAAAACAACATGAAACGCATTCGAACATATAAATTGAAATAACTACAAAAAAATATGACTGTATGTATGGCCCAAATTCTGAGCAGTTGGCAGTGACCAAATGACACTTAACAATTACAAGTAAATGGTGGGGTTCAACAAGTTTATGTCAGTGCAGTCCTGGTCTCTTGGCAAACAGAGTATACACTGAGTAGTTTGTTACTATATAACTACAGTCTATTTTGTTTATTCACAAGTCAGTAAATCACAGTTGACTTAAACAATGAGAATTTGAAATATCACTACAATTTATAGTATATTAAACTATTTATATTTTTTCATGAATTCTTAAGATATTTTAAATAGCTTAGAACCTACAAACCTGATTTAACTTGATACAACTTTAGTTTAAATTCATAAATTAGCAAGTATATACATTTTGTTTTGCAACTCCAAAAAGAACAAGAGTTTGGATGAGACTTAAACAAAACCTACATTGTTAAAATTGAAAATTGCTAATAGTTTCTACTTTACATTAAAATAAATAAAAACTTGTATTTTTGGAGAAATTCCAACAACCATAGTCTCAATTGAGCTGCACCCTAAACTGATATTTAAAAGTCATATGTATCGTTCTGAATTTATGAAACATCGTCATCTTACACAGATGAGTATAACGCAACTAGTGCCTAAAACTTTATTACTATTTAGTTTATACAGTCATCAATAAGTTGAGAATACAATTTATTGATTCTTCTACATTTCAAACATAACATTAAACTATTTCTAACGAATTGCAATAATTGATTTTAAAAAGTATATATAATATCTACAAGTATTCTATTTGACGGTAGTGAATTATAAGGGAAGATACTTAATTGTAATATTACTTGTATGGGATTTAATTCAATTTTCAGTCAACCTAGACAAAAAGCGATTATTCGGGTTAAAATTTGATGAGAAAAAATACCTAATTTAACTTTTAAACTTGTTATTATATAACATAACCATGATGTAATCTAATACTCCAGACCGTAAATGTATAAAAAAAAATGACAATTTTACAAGACTGTCAAGACTAGGCGATAAAGTTTGAAATAACTTAAAATATATTACCTTTAAAGGTAAAGAATGAGCTGAAAATAAGATGACAACGTCATCTCTATCACTTTCAGGAAATTTCTGAATTTCATCGGAAATTCTTGAACCAATTGCCTTAATTAACAATGGATGTGTAGCCCATCGGTCGATTATGCTCAATTTTAAATTTTCTGGAAACGTTCTAAGGCAGAATATTTATTTAGTACAATATAATTATTAGGATTTATGTAAAGTTTACTTATTTTGAAAATATGAATAAATGGCATTAAAACTTGAACCACTGGTAGCACAACTATATTGAGGATATTGTGAAAACAATACTACTCTATCAGCACCATCTCTAAAAATATAAACAAACTTATATGATGTTCAGCACGTTAAAATTAATGTGTAATACATACTTTTGTACTTGATCAAGCGTACTTTCAGTTAATGGTTCAACATATCTAAATGCAACATAATGTTTATGTGGAGCAGTACTAGGTGATATTTTGTCTAATTTTTCACACATCAATTTTCCCTAAAATTGGTATACATCAATTCATTATTATCCCCTATTTTATAATGACTAATGAGATATCTGAACAATATTACTTGAATATTGGTCCACTTCAAAATTGGTGATCCCCCACCAATTTCAGCATATTTTTTCTGTACTTCTGAAGTTCTTCTCTTGGCGATATATGGTCCCAAGATGCTGTAAAAATACCAAATACAGTCATAAATGTTGATTTCTATCGAAGTAACTATTCTGACATTCACTTTTGAAAAGGTAACTGCATCATGTCTCGATCGGTCATTATGCGTTTCAAATAGCCATGCACTTGGTCAACATGTTGTGGCCCACCCATGTTTAACATGACGACGGCGGTTTTTACTTGAGAGGACATAAGTCGACTGGTCAAGTCTGGAACAAATAAATTCAATATTTGGTAGTCAACAAACCTAATGTGTATAAAAACCAACCTGAGGTAGGTCTACTTAGATGTTTCAAAGACGAAAACATTTTTAATGATTTTTAATCTAAGGAATAAATAAAATATTCGAAAATTCAATAAAATAAACTATTAACTAATAACTAATGACTTTCTAACTTCTAAAGGAAGCATGAAAATGAAATTAATTAACATGTAGTCAATATTAGATAACAATAATAATCAAGAATTACGATAGTACTATCACAGAATAATTATCACGTGGAGTGTAAATTTATTTTTTCTTTGTAGAATGTAGATTAACGTCTTAAACCTTTCTAAAAGGTCTATGATTTATCATGTTTAGAAGGACTTTAGAGAGCTCAGAGCAGTCGCATGTCTTAACTTTTCGCTATGACAAGTTCATAATATAATTTAAAATACTGAGTGACATGCAGTGCGATAATTCAATTTTGTAAATATATATAATTTCTACATTAACCTAAGTTATGTGATTTTGTTTAAATTGTTTTGATAAGTAGTTAGTAAAAAAAAATTCAGTTACCCTACACATAAATATCTATACGGATTTAAATAAATCTACCTTCCCATAGCAAATTTAAGATTCACTGATTTCCGACAATGTTACGATGCTCGTCTACTATATCCAAAGGTCAAACACAACAAGGAATTGAATATTCATCGTGGATAGTATATTAAGCATTGACTACAATAAATATGCAAGAAAAATTTTTTAATAATTTTTTTAAAATGTTAGTATTCCATACAAATTTGTAAACACACTATTTTTAATTGTAAACATAAAATAACAAATGCAAAGTTATAAAATATCATCTTTATTGAAAAAATAGGTTAATAAATTAAACTTTAAAATACGTTGTAAAAACCGTCACAAAGTTGAATAATTTATTTTTATACATCGATGTAAAGTTATTTAAAAATAGGTTATGATATAAAGCAAGTATTTAAAAATGAAAACATACAAAGCTTACATAAAAAAATGCAATTCTTTTATAAAATTTTAAATGAATTAATATTTATCACATTTTTTCTTAAAAAGTAAAGTTTTTACATTTTACTCATAACATGTTAAACACATTTTTTTCGCTTCATTGCAAAATCTAGAAAAAAAGTAATACATCTATTATTAGATTCAAGCTTTTCTTAACTGATGCGAAAATAAAAAATTTATGAATACTTACAAAGAAAATGAACACATATTGCAAAATATCTCTCCACATTTCCCACAGAAATCTAATTTTTCTGTTTTTGAACAAAAGTTACATTTTTTCTGATTGTAGTCATACACTTTGGGGTTCTAAAAACATTTAAATAAAACAATTAAAAATTATCACCTAACTTTAATGAAATTATCTATTTTTATAGGTTCATACTTCAAATAAAACATAAGGCTTGCACAGTTGTCCATCAAACGTCAACTGCATTTGTTTGGATGGCTTACTGTCGCATGGAACTTTATCCACAAGCACAGACTCATTTATTGCTTCAAAAGGTGCATTTGCTCTTTGAAATAATATCTGTTTAGTCTTTTCTATAAAAATAAAATTCGATTGATTTCAATTAAAAGTTACAAGCTTGCCACTCAGATTAACATAAATTATTAAAAAAGTTTTTATAATTGCCAAAAGAAGATTCAAAAAATAAATTTACTATAAAAGTACCAAATAATATTTGCATTAAAACTAAGGCCATTGTGTGCAAATTTGTTTTTATACATTGAGAATAATCGTTGTACATAAACTGATGTTATGGATACATTTTTTATTTAAAGTTTAAACTAAATCTATTGCAGTGCCATTATGAATGTTGTTGGTGATGTAAGTTCTCCCTATTTATTATTCTTTGAAAAAACTATATTGAAATAAAATAAATAGGTAGGTAAAATTATTTTTGACATTATGCAAACAACAAATATCAGAAGAAGAAATTCTCGGGGGGGAAGCTATTCATTGGTGTTGAGGCAAATAATTAAGTTTACTTGTTAATAATCAAAAAAATATAACATTAAATTTTACATAAGAATTAACCTTCTTACAGACTGCCAGCCAAAAGGTCATTTGCAACAAGATTTTAATCCTATACTTCTCAGTTATACCATAATATTATCTATTTAGGATGTGTTCTTACCATAAATTTCAGACATTTTGGATGGTCCCAAGACTCCATTAGCGACTTGTTTCTCTCCAATATGTATTTTAAGCTGGGGACACATATCGATGCCATACGGATACTTTCTCTTGTTCATCTCGTCTTAAAAAATGTATTCGTTATTTTGTAGTTTTGTTGTTTATGGATAATACAAAATACTGTAGGTACCTACAGTAAAAATCAAAAACAAATAGTTTTGGTATAAAACATCTGTGTACGCACAACACATTAAATAGTAAACACTATTACTATTACAAAATACAATAGATCATACATCGCTGTTTAAACACCTCCTTAATTAATACTTAGCCATGATACCGTTTATCTAAAGGCAAATACGAATGAGAAAAAAAGTTTAAGTTAAAAATAAAATATAGAATTACATAATAAGTAAATAGGTACCTATATTGTATCTATTTGTGGGAATTAGCACAGAACAATATTATGCTACTAGGTTCCCGCGCACTATAGACTATAGAACAAACTGTCATATATTATTATATTTGTAACTCATTGTCTTTTGATATTACGAATGGATACGCGACGATCTACAGCGTATAGGTAATAATATGTATTCGATTCGAACAATATACAACCCCGAATTCCTAAACCCACGGGCCACGGCACAATATTGTGGGTCGTGGGTGCGTTAAGGCACAAAATATAAAAATACTAATTTCAAGTCTACAACCGTGAGTTCGTGATAATAATATGATATTATGATCCACAACCGTGATCTCTAACCGTGGTTTCATTCACAGCTCTACTGATAATAATAATATCGATATGCGATAACAAAAGGCATTGAGTCTTGAAACTTGTGAGCTCTTTGGATTTCGGAAAACATGACTTGTATTTTATTGTTGTTGTAGATGGATATTCCTATATTCGCTTGTCATTAATGTTTTACATAACTAGTTGAGTACTTTGTGCTTTTGTATCAAAATTAGGTGAAACTTATTTGAAATCATTCAGTTTTTATTATTAAAAGTACAGCAAAATGAATATAACGTCGGCAGCAGGCGTGATATCGTTGCTGGACGAGCCGGCATCTGAATTAAAAATCTTCGCACTCCGGAAACTAGATGCTATTGTGGACGAATTTTGGCCCGAAATATCAGAGGCAATCCAAAAAATTGAATTCCTCCACGAAGACAAGACGTTCTCACAACAAAGTTTGGCTGCTCTAGTTGCTAGTAAGGTATATTATCACCTTGGTTCATTCGCGGATTCCTTACAATACGCGTTGGGTGCCAGCGATTTGTTTGACGTAAACGCGCGCAACGAATACGTGGAGACCATCATAGCAAAATGTATCGACCACTACACAAAATTGAGCGTCGAGGCTGCGGAAAATCCAAGCTCCCCGCCTGTGATGGATGTGCGTTTGGAAGCAATTGTCAATCGTATGTTTCAAAGATGTCTGGACGACAAGCAATTCAAACAGGCATTAGGTTTGGCTTTAGAAACAAGACGTATGGATATATTTGCCAAATCCATTGAATTATCCGACAATGTAAATGAAATGTTATCTTATGCTTTCCAAGTGGCGATGAGCACTATTGAAAATCGCAGTTTCCGCAGCACTGTGTTACGTTGTCTCATTGGTTTATACCGAAACCTTGAAGTCCCGGACTATGTGAACATGAGCCAATGTTTCATTTTTTTGGATGATCCCAAATCTGTAGCTCAATTACTCGAAGGTCTGATACAAAATAACGATGAGAAAAACTGCTTGATGGCATATCAAATAGCATTTGATTTGTATGAATCAGCTACCCAACAGTTTCTGTCTAGTGTTCTTGAGTCCTTACGCCAAACAGCACCCATACCTTCTGCAACTCATGTCATTAAAGCAATTCCTGCAGCCCAAAGTAGCACAGAAAAAGAAACTGTTACCCCGCCTGTAGCTGTTGCTTCAACTGATGTCAGCACAGCTCAGCCTGTTGTTGAAGAACGTTCTTTTGATTCTCTTGGGCCAGATGACAAGTATCGTCAAGAAGTAATCCAAAAGTTAACTAAAGTATTAAGTGGAGAAGTAAGTATTGAGCTACATCTACAGTTCTTAATTAGGAGTAATCATACAGATATGTTGATCTTAAAAAATACAAAAGAAGCAATTCGAGCAAGTGTCTGTCATACAGCTACAGTAATCGCCAATGGATTCATGCATAGTGGTACCACTAGTGATCAATTTTTAAGGTAAATAAAATCATATATTACTCATTATTAATTAAAATAATCAAGTTACTTTTTACCAATTGATGAATTATGCCTAATTATATAGGTAGTATCCATTATTGATTCATTCATTTGTCAATTTTTTTTTATATACCTATTCACAAAAAAAGTTTAAAGTTAATTTAATGATTTAAAGTTAATACATTTTTTTAATTATTATTTTATATCAGTCCATAGAAGTACTAACAAATTCGATAAATCTATATATATTATAAATAAAAGAAAATTGTGTTAGTTAAATTATTTATAATTCAAGAAGGGCTAAATCGATTTGGCTGAAAATTGGTGGGGAGATAGCTTAGAACCTGGAGATGGACATACAATACTTTGTATCCAAATCGGTTAAGCCATTCTTGAGTTATAAATAGTGTAACTAACACAACTTTCTTAATATACTGCTCGCATTATCACAAGCAAGTTTCATATAGAGTTGGCATTTTTAACGAGCACCCAAGTGCACGAGATCAGCTACTGTATATATAAAAAAATTTAACTAATCACTGGTTAATCTTTTATTAATTTTTTATTCCAAACACTGCACCAGTTGAGACTCAAAATTTACCACTTGTTAGAAAACAAATCAAACGAAAATTAAAATTTCTCTTTATTATTATATCGGTTACTAAGACATGAAACTACTTATTCACTAAATGACAAAATTGTTTTTATAAAACGGTTCTGTAAATTATAGATAATTATAAGATTTTTTGGGTATTTTTAAAAATAAATTCTTATCTCACTGATTGTTATTTTAAACAATTAATTGTTATAGGGATAATCTGGAATGGTTAGCCAGGGCTACAAATTGGGCCAAATTATCAGCCACTGCATCTCTTGGAGTTATTCATAGAGGTCACGAAACAGACGCTCTTGAACTTATGCGCAGTTATTTACCTCCTAGAGAAAATAATTCATCTGGAAGTTCTGGCTATAGTGAAGGTGGTGGTCTGTATGCTTTAGGTTTGATCCATGCTAACCACGGCGCTGCTATCAATGATTATCTTCTTGGACAACTTAAAGATGCACATAATGAAGTAAATAATTAATAATATGATGAAATGCCTATAATTAAAATGAAACATTATTAAAATATTTTTAATTTTAGATTGTAAAACATGGAGGATGCTTAGGAATTGGTCTTTCAGCAATGGGTACAAGTCGTGAAGACATTTATGAACAGTTGAAATTCAACATGTATCAAGACGATGCTGTGACTGGTGAAGCTGCTGGATTAGCAATGGGTTTGGTTATGTTGGGATCAAAAAATGGTGAAGCACTTCAAGACATGGTGGCATATGCTCAAGTAACTCAGCATGAAAAAATTTTGAGAGGTTTAGCTGTTGGAATATCATTTGTCATGTATGGTCGACTAGAAGAAGCTGATCCTTTAATTACCTCTTTGTTACAAGACAAAGATCCAATATTACGTCGGTCCGCTATGTATACAATATCAATGGCATATTGTGGAACTGGGAGTAATATGGCTATTAGGAAACTATTGCACGTTGCAGTTTCTGATGTCAACGATGATGTACGTCGTGCAGCTGTCACAGGTTTAGGATTTTTGTTATTCAGAACACCAGAACAATGTCCTCAAGTTGTTAGTTTACTTGCAGAAAGTTATAACCCTCATGTTAGATATGGTGCTGCCATGGCTTTAGGTATTGCTTGTGCTGGAACTGGACTCAAAGAAGCTATTAATTTATTAGAACCGATGACCAATGACCCAGTTAATTATGTTCGTCAAGGAGCTTTAATCGCATCCGCTATGATTCTTATTCAACAAACAGAAAGTACCTGTCCTAAGGTAAAAGAATTCCGTACACTGTATGCAAAAGTAATTACTGATAAACACGAAGATGTTATGGCTAAGTTCGGTGCTATTCTAGCTCAGGGTATCATTGACGGAGGTGGTCGTAATGTTTCAATTTCCTTGGAATCTAGAACTGGTCATACTAATATGTTGGCAGTTGTCGGTCTGTTATTGTTCACCCAATATTGGTATTGGTTTCCACTGGCCCATTGCTTAGCACTAGCTTTTACCCCTACATGTATCATTGCATTAAATGCACACCTTAAAATGCCTCTCCTTGAGTTAAAAAGTAATGCTAAACCGTCTTTGTACGCATATCCTGCAGCAATGGAAGAAAAGAAACGAGAAGAAAGAGAAAAGGTCACCACCGCTGTATTAAGTATTGCAGCAAGAGCTAAACGTCGTGAAGGTGGCACTGTGAAAGCAGTTGAACTATCTACTAGTGAAAAAATGGAAATTGATGAAAGAGAAGCCTCAACCAGTAAGAAGAAGGAAGAAAAGAAAGAAGAACAAAAACCTGAACCAAACTTTGAGATATTGAATAACCCAGCTAGAATAATGAAACAACAACTAAAACACTTACAATTGGTTGAAAATTCATCATATCAACCTTTAAAAGATGTTTCAATCGGTGGCATCATCATGACACGGTTTACTAAAAATGGTGTTGAAGACGAACAGTTGGTTGAGCCAGTTGCTGCTTTTGGACCTAAACCAGAAGATGATAAGGAACCTGAAGCACCTGAACCTTTTGAATACGCAGATGATTAATAATGTAATACCTAAATATTTTTGTTACATCCTAACAGACCTTGTATAATTTTTTTTATTTAGACTTATAATTTATTCATCCATGTAAACTTGAATTAATTATAATAATTATATATATAAAAGTCTAGTGGAGAATTGTTTTTTTGTTACAGTTTTTACTAACTAAATGTTCAATTGATGATTTATCTTTATACATAGTAATGTGTCATTTATACATATTCACTACACATGAAAATTCTTTTCAATATTTGGTGATTACTTACTTATATATTATTATATTTAAATTTTTGTATGAATTTTCAGTTTGTTTATTAATGACTCACTAATATTAAAAATTGACTAGTTTCTTTTTAAATTTTTAAGACAATGATTAAACCAGCGGTGTATATATGCTTTAAGTGGTGAGAGGGGGAGTATGAAACTAAAAATAATAATTTTATGTACTAAAAAATGAACAATGGTTTCTACAATTGTGGGTTCACAGAGATGGTAAGTTTCTACACAAGATACATTTATAGGTTAACACATAACTTAAGTAAAAACTGTAATTCACAAGTTAAAAAAAAAAGAAGTTATTTTGTATAAGAAAAATAGCTTTTCAAAAAGTGAATAATTTGGACATTAATTATATTTTTGCCGACACATTATGGCAATACACACCAGTTGAGAACCACTGCTATGAAGCTATGTTCTGACTTTGTTACAAATATTTTGAACTTCGTTCAATCCAAGGTCTAGTATTAACCTAGATAATACTCTACTTAGTAATATTCATTGTATTAGTTATTAATTTCCTATTTATAATTATGCTATAATTTAAATTATTATACGGAACTTTAAGTATTGTATTTTCTCAATAATATAGTACACAAAGATAACACATACACACTGATTCTTTGACCCATAAACCAGGGATGTCCAACCTATCAAGCTTTTTGAACTGGCCCGCCAAACTAATAAATGTTTTGAAAATATATTTTATATAATATTATTAAAAATAGTGTATTCTAAGTAAATTTCAATTATATTAACACTATTTAAAAAACGTTAGTTTGTTATGCTGAACCAAATCACAGGTTGGTGACCCCTGCTATAAACAATTAAAATAGTATAATTAAAATATTTAGAATGTATTTTAATGTTATTAACTTATGACGATAATTATAATTCATAATACAAAATAATAATGGGAAAATATTTTTAACTTGATAAAATGTTACAAACAAGTATAGTAAATGTTAATATACGTAACAGAAGCAAATACTTTTGTTCATTTTAGTATTAACCATTACAATGTATTAATATAAATACAATAGGAAGGATAAGTTATTTCCACTTAATTGTTTAACTACACAAAGATGGTCAAATATATTTAGTTGTCATTATAGACAAAACAATACCAAATTGTATTTATTTTTTAAGCTTGTTTCTTTTGGTTATGACAATTTTCTATGTTTAATGAACAGATTTTAAGAAGATTTTAACTAGTAGTTTTCTAATGCATACGATATGATAATGCAGTTGATAAAATAAAATAACATAAAATTATATTTTAACATTTTAAAAGTGGTTAACATAGTTCAATATAACTTACAAAATGTTAGGTTTTAATACTATGATGAAAATACAAATTCTATCTGTACAATTCCACAGATTAAATTCAAATAAAATAATCAAAGAAGTGCAGCTAACTTCTTCCTTTTGTGCCAATTTTTTAATTTATTTTTCAGACTTCAGCGAAAGCAAAATTTTGTAATTATAATAATATAGTAATTTTTTACCAAAATTTATTTAAGGATTGTAAAGTACCATTTGCATTGTATTTAATGGTTAAATGGAATTTTCAAATTAATAGGGAAAATAATTTATTTATTATTCCTAATCGAAGCCATTTTAACCTAATCAATACAAAGGTAAAACGCGTTAAGTCTATATCACCATAGTTTACAAATATAATACCAAACTAACAGCCAACAAATAATTTATGAATTTAATTCTTCATCAATTTTGATAATTCAATGCCCATAGCAGCTGGGCTTCTTGTAACGACCACACCAGCCTAAAAAGTATATAAAGTTTTATAATTGATGACCAACCAATAATTTAACACTAAATCACCTTTTCTAATGCATTAATTTTGTCTTGAGCTCCACCTTTTCCACCAGATATGATTGCTCCAGCATGGCCCATTCTGCGGCCAGGTGGTGCTGTTAATCCAGCAATGAATGATACAACTGGTTTGGCATTTGGACCCTAAACAATTAATATACATATATTTTCAATAATTCATGTTATTAAAATAATTACTTACGGAATTATGTTCTATCAAATATTCAGCAGCCATTTCTTCTTGTTGACCGCCAATCTCACCAATTAGAATAATACCATGTGTATTTGGGTCTTGTAAAAATACTTCCAAACAATCTATAAAATCAGTACCGTTGAATGGATCACCACCAATACCAACACACAACGTTTGTCCAAGACCAACTTGAGATGTTTGATGAACTGCTTCATAAGTAAGTGTACCTGACCGAGACACAACACCAACTGATCCTTTTAAATGGATATGACCGGGCATAATACCAATTTTACACTAGAAAATGTATACAATTGAACAATTCACTTACTAATATAGATTAATACAATATGATACATAGTTGATAAAAATTGTTTACATACTTGTTCTGGAGCAATGATTCCAGGACAATTAGGTCCAAGCAATCTAGATTTGTTCTGTCTAATTAATTTATGTTTCACTCGTACCATGTCTTGCTGGGGAATTCCTTCTGTAATACAAACAATTAAAGGAACCTCAGCATCAATAGCTTCTGAGATTGCTTTTGCGGCGCCTGGGGGTGGTACATAAATAACTGTAGCATCCGCTCCAGTTTCATCCCTTGCCTATAATAAACAATTACAAATATATTAATATTTTGTAACTGGAACAATAATTCTTATTCTTTTTGTTATCACTTACTTCTTTGACAGAGTTAAAAATTGGTAAACCTAAATGAGTTTTTCCACCTTTTCCAGGGGAGACACCTCCTACCATACGAGTTCCATACTCAATAGCTTGGGTAGAATGGAAAGTTCCTTGTTTACCAGTCATTCCTTGACAGATTACTTTAGTATCTTTAGTAAGTAGTAAATTTTTTCTTGTTTCAGCATAGATGCGTGGATCAACTGTATTTGACGATGATCGTATTCCCATCAAATTGCATACTACATGAATTTAAAAAAATTAATTTTAGTTAAATCATGAAGTATAAGACTTTAAACTATATTATAATTGGTCAGCTTTAAATGTTGGATGATTAACTTGATGCAATTTTATTTTTTATTATATCATTATTTAATAATGCTTTTACTAATACAAAGTAGTAGGTTTGAAAAAAGTGGATAATATAATAATTATAGACTATACATAATATAATATAAAACTAAATTACTTTCAATAAAATGAACATAAGTTAATTTAACACAAAATAAAATATTTGTACATTAGTATCAACCATTTTGGTGAGCCTATTCATCACGGCTAGGAAATATATAATTCATTGATAATTTAAAATGTGTGGTATGTGGAATGTCTTCTGGAATGTATGAACAAATCATTTTTGCAGCTAACTCCCCATAATTTTTGTAACTGGACTAGGGTGATGCAAACATGAAGCTCAGATATAGTTGAACCGTAAGGTAACAACTATCATTAGGTACAATAGGTCAAATACACGAACCAGGAAGTCGACTTATCTGGAAATTATTGTCATGGTGCCCTAGACACGGTAAGATAATCGGGAGGCGCGTCGTCCGAAATTGAAGGTGTTGGGTTAAGCCCTTTCTTACCTGCGATTCTGGAGAAAACTCTGGTGGAAGCGGCCATTGTGAGCGTCAAAATTCTTGCAAGGAGCTAGACTGGTTCGAGAAATGCGACGGCAACCAGAAAACTGATCGTAATTCTAGAAAAATAATCGGCTGCGGGCACCACCAAGTGCAAGTGATAAGAACGCCAAAGGAAAAGGTCGACGACGGCAGGCTGTCGGAGTGTCGGACGGCTGTTCAACCTCAACGGGTGAAAATTGATCAGCAAAAATCCGTCCGCTATCACACATACCGTAACCGGAGCTGATCCGTTCGGGCCCGGGTGGCGGTAGAAACATATGGTGCGGGGCAGTGCTGCCAACGGGTGATATTAGAAGCGCTACAGCTGCTGCCGTCGCTGCTGTTGCACTCGACACTCGCCCACACTCGACAGAATGACTAGTCCATCATGCGCATGACGATCGTCGACCAACCATAGAGTTCGTGTGCAATAATCTATCATGCGCACAACCACGGGCTACCACTCACCACTGTTTACCTATGCTGTTGCTACGTCCCACGACTTGATGTGCGCCTGTGCGCCTTGTCTTGTTAGTGGTTAGCCGTTGTGCGCGGGGCGGGGAATAACAGTACGACACTGGTCGCCAGTCGCCTCCGTGACCCGTTCCTCTCCGCACCGTCGCTTCTACAGCTCGGCGTACGGTGGAGAGAAGAGAAAGAGCAGATTACACCAGTACACTACTACAGAGCTGCTGCAGCCGCGGCGGCGGTAAGTAATTGTTGACTGGTGTGCGTGTGTGTGTACCTGATACCTGTGAAATAAAGAAAAAGAAAGGAGGAAAATCGTTCTCTCACGTCACCGCCGATACGAGACTGAGTGCACTGCTCGGCGCTCGCTGCGGATCCTCGGACTATCGGGATTCCGATAATTTTTTTCCCTCATCCCCGTCGTACGAGCGGAAACTTCTTATTTTTCTGTCCTGTCCTCCATACCGCCGTCGCATTCGCTGTCCGCTCAAATATGGTCTTGATCTTACGAATCACGCACCGACGTGCTGCATGCCAATACGTCAACCGCGGGAACGATATTCCTGGTCCTCAACATCTGTCGCCGAATTCGAAGTAGACTTTTGACTTGACACACTAGCCGTGTAGTGAACGATGCTACTGTCATTTACGATGTAGTCGAGTCTTTTCGTGTCCGACGATAACAATTTTGCATTGTGAATATTCGAATAGAAGTGCCTAACATTATGATGCGTACCAAACGACATGAATCCGAACAACCCATCATATATGCTCTGCTTCAAGAGGACCCACTGCGAGAATTATTTGAAGCTTGCAAATCGGGCGACTTGAATAAAGTCAGGCGACAAATAAATGCCGAGACTGTCAACGCTAGAGATACGACGGGCAGGAAAAGTACTCCTCTACACTTCGCTGCTGGTAAATAAAATAATATGCTAACATGTTAGGTGTACAAAGTTTCAACTTTCAAATATCAATCTTTTTATGTTATTACCATTTTAAATTTTATTCATGAATTATTCACTACCCATCCACCTAAATTATTATAAAATTGAATTGATCAAGTATTATGTAGGTACGAGCAGTTACATTTCAATTAATTTTTTGCTTAACTTGAGTCTACAATTATTTTATTATAAGAACTTATTTTTTTCATGTGTTTTAATTATTAAAACTATGTTCTACAAATTATGTAAAAGAGATTCCTACTTTATATGGAAGAAATAGGTTTTATGAAAAATTGAGATTGTGAATCAGGTAGAATTTGGTATTAAAATCAATTATAGTTAGGTACTATATTTTATTGTTATACCTAAACAATGACAATACTGAACAGCTGATAGAAATTATTTTTAGGGAGGGAGTTATGTGGGTTTGACAGTAAGCATAGGTAGATATTACCTAAGTACTATTTATTAAAATATATTAAATGAAAACTTACCAAAAAAAAGAATGAAATTCTATAGAGATATATTTTATATTTGGCATTTAAGTATACATATGAGTACCTACCTATCTTAAATAGGTAAATATTACTTATATATTCAAGTAAACTAAATATGAAAAATAGAAAGTAATTATATAATACAATGTTGGTTATGTAATAAAGTCAAGGTATTTATCGGTTAATGCTACCTAAATAAACAATTTGGTTATCGGGACTACCGCAGTAACAATACACTAAACATATTGAGTAGTAGTTTTTATTAGTATTGGTGTGGGCATTTCTTTTAGATAACGTGTTACTTTTAATGGGGTATGCCTGATGCCATTTGCCAACGCATTTGCTGACATCACTGTTGTGTAGTTACTTAACTGGTACTTCACACAAAAATATTGAAAAGTTGTAGGTATCCTTAAATTATTCTTTCTCAAAGTGGGCATCAAAGTCAACATCTAGACAGTTATTTATTTAAAGTCATGTGATGTCAAAAGCACGATGATCCATTTATCAGCATTTAAAATTGCATGGCTGAACATTTCACTCATGAGTTAGTTATTTATTTTCAATTTTACCCATTATTTTTTGTTTTATAATTTGTAATCGTTTTAATAATTGTATTATATTTTTTAAATTACGTAAAGGAAGATAGTTAGCAATAACCGATAAGTACCAAAGTCAATATAAAGTTAAGTTAATAAGCATTTGTATAATTTCAGGATTTGGCCGTCGCGATATAGTTGAATTATTGTTAGCTGCTGGAGCATCTATTCAAGCTCACGATGATGGTGGACTTCATCCATTACATAATGCATGCTCATTTGGACATGAGGATGTGGTAGGTTTATTATTAGAAGCTGGAGCCGATCCTAACACTAGGGACAATTGGAATTATACACCTCTCCATGAAGCAGCTGTCAAAGGAAAAATTGAAATATGTATAGGTAAAATACAATTGTAATAATGTAAAAATTACCAGTATTATTTGCAATGAAAATAATAATAAAAAATTAATTAATATTTAATGTATAGCTTTATTACAACACGGAGCAGATCCAACAATTCGAAATTCAGAAAATAAATCACCTATTGATTTAGCAAACGTTAGTGGAGTTCCTGGTATCAACGAAGTTTTAGTGGGAGAATGGCGAAAAGATGAAGTATGAAATAAGAATAATGAAGTACATTATGATAGTAATTTAATTATTTTATACTAAAATTCTTATAGATTCTTGAATCTAGTCGATCTGGTGATGATGCTAAATTATCATCACTTTTAACACCTCTTAATGTTAACTGTCATGCAAGTGATGGGCGTAAATCCACGCCTTTGCATTTAGCTGCTGGTTTTAATCGTATCCGGTGTGTTCAATTACTTCTTAGGCATGGTTCTGATGTCCATGCAAAAGATAAAGGGTAAAAATAATAATGAAAATGTTTTAATTGTTATATGTCAATTGAAACATATAGTTCTTAAAAATACAAATTGGTAATATTTTTTTTTAATTTTAGCGGCCTTGTTCCATTACATAATGCTTGTTCATATGGACACATAGAAGTGACAGAAATGCTTATAAAGCATGGGGCTTGTGTTAATGCAATGGACTTATGGCAATTTACTCCTTTGCATGAAGCAGCGTCTAAGTCACGTGTTGAAGTTTGTTCCTTATTACTAAGCAAGGGCGCTGATCCAACATTACTGAATTGTCATTCCAAGTCAGCTATCGACTTAGCATCCACACGAGAACTACAAGAAAAATTATCATGTATGATAAAACTGGCATTTTTTAAAAACTATTTATTGTTTATTATTCATTTTTTATAGATGAATTTAAAGGTTATTGTTTATTGGAATCATGTCGTGTGGCTGATGTTTCAAAAGTTAAAAAACTTCTAAGTTCAGATATTGCTAAATTTAAACACCACTTAACTGGAGATACTGCTTTTGTAAGTTGTGATACACATGTGTTCTATGCATAATACTTACTATATGTTTGAATTCATATTTTTAGCATATTGTAGCTGCATCATTGGGTTCAAAGCGCAAGCAAGTTATTGAACTTTTGTCTCGTAAAGGGGCACAAATTAATGAAACTAACAAAGATCTATTAACCCCTTTACACATAGCCGCAGACTATGGTCATTTTGATGTTATGGAAGCATTTATCAGACTTGGTGCACGAGTTAATGCTACTGATGGACTAGGACAAACAGGTACATATTAATTAATAGTTAGCTAACTGTTTCAAAAATTACTTTGATTTAATGGCTTAAAAATTATAATTCTTAGCTTTACATCGATGTGCAAGAAATGACTGTTTACAAGGTTGTAAAATTCTTTTATCGTACAATATTGATACAAACATAACATCAATACAAGGATTTAAGGCAATTGATATGGCTACTGATAATATTAAAAAAATATTACAAGGTAATTAATCAATACACTATATAAACTTAATATATTATGATTTAATTTATATAATATTTTACATATTACAGAGCCTCCAGTGGTTTTAGATTTAGAATCTGAACTTTTAGAAGCTTCTAAGGCTGGAGAAATAGAAAAAGTTCAGAGAGTGTTAACTGCTTATCCTCATATTGTAAACTGTAGAGATTTAGATGGACGGTAATAATTTAGTACCTACTATTTTATAAAAAATTAACATAAAACGAAATACAATGAAAAGATATTTATACTATTTACTTTTGTATATAACAGACATTCCACTCCACTTCACTTTGCTGCTGGATACAATCGTGTAGCAGTTTGTCAGTATCTCCTTTCACATGGTGCTGATGTTCATGCAAAAGATAAAGGGTATACATAATTGAATATTATTAATTTTACATTATATAAATAAAATACCATATTTAACCATTAAATGTACAGTGGTCTTGTACCTTTGCACAATGCCTGTTCATATGGTCATTTCGAAGTTACCGATATGTTAATTCAACATGGTGCCAATGTAAATGTTTCTGACTTGTGGAAATTTACTCCTCTTCATGAAGCTGCAGCTAAAGGAAAATACGAAATTGTGCGATTATTACTGCAGGTACTTTTCATTTGTTTTTCATTTAAGAAAAGTTACTTAAATTTGTTTAAAATAAATTTAGCATGGTGCTGATGATACAAAAAAAAACCGTGATGGACACACTCCTTTAGGACTAGTAAGAGATAATGATAATGAAGTTGCTGATTTATTAAGAGGCAATGCAGCACTATTGGATGCTGCTAAAAAAGGCATACTTGCACGAGTTCAAAGACTTCTTACTTCAGAAAACATAAACTG